CCACCGACCACAGGGGATCCCATGTAGGAAGCTCAAACAGTGTGTCATGACCCATAGCGACAGTGAAAGACAGTTTTGTACAGTTCTGACTTGATGTAATCAGCTCTTTGAGCAATCGTAATAATTGAAATCTCGTCCGAATACCCCTCCCATGTTATTTCCGTCATGGTAATCTCGTCCAATCTCTATTTTCCATACTTTTGGGAAGCCATATTTTTCTCCGGCGGATTCGCTCGCTCCACTACCGATGAACTGTTCCAAATCTATTATTCCGCTTCCCGAATAAAAACGGGTACCTCAAAATTATTTTGAACCTGCAAGCAGCAGATCGCAGCTGGTTCCTTTTAGTTATTTGAAGGTCATAGTTTTGAAAGGAACGGGCGTGGGGTTTACTGAAGACTTAGTGAATTTTCTGGGAATACTGAATGGATTCAGATCTTTAAGCAGTCTGGCTCGACTCGTACACACAGCTTGGAACTCCTGACTCGAAATCAGAAAAACTTGAGTGAAAGAATGAAGTCTGAAAGATACTGTAAGGAGATTCCAGTCAATGTGGGCAATCATCAAAAGTGAACTTGCAAAAACGTTCTGAAAAATTCCAGGCAGCAGTCTTTTAGGCAAAAGGCACTATATGAGGATTGCTGCAAGTCGATTCCTTCGTTGAGTTTCATTCTGGCAGCATTCTACTTTCACTGCTCAAGGGCAGACTCGTCGAAAGTACTGTCAAAGCCTGGTTGTACTCTGAATCTCCAACTAAAAGAAAACGCTCGTTCGCATTTACCAATTTTGATTATATTCCTCGTTATGTAAGGATTATCCGATACCAGTGCTACTCTGCAGACGTTTTCCTTCCATTGTTCTCAAGTTCCGCTAAGGTCACCTCGAACTTTAAGAACTCGTAGTACTGATAACGCCTGGTCGTAATATAATCGGCAAACTTGACGTCCCGCTTTCATCCCTATAAAAAGCTGGTCGCGTTGATCACTACAGACAAGCTACCGTGCTCCTTTAAAGAAATGCCCACCTTTTTTCCTCCTATTTTCGCTCATTTCCTAGAATTCCTCTGCTTAAGGCATACCGATCCAACCTTCCACAACTAAGAAATAAAGTTAGCCCCAGTCAAGCCAAGTTTGAGCATCAAAGTAGTCGGGGTTTTTGATTTTGCAGTTTTTTGTCCTATTCGGAGCAGAGGGATTGCAAACTTCATATTTTTATCCTAAATATTTATCCGTATTACGGTGTTATTGATACTCAAGCTCAAATAATGGTCACGGGGTATAGGTAGGAACGGTTGAGCCTGTCGAAGTCGTTATTCTGGACACCATAACAGGACTTTTTCGACTTTGATTCCGAAATAATCAGCATTTTCCCTTTCCAAATAATTGACCTAATACGAAAACATTTCAGAATGATCTCCTACACTGCTGCCGTTCTTTTGGCTACGCTGAGTACTTCCCTGGCTTGCAGTCCGACATGGCCAAATGCTACGGACACAACGCCGACATGGTTCCAGTGTAACAGTGGCCCCATCACCTTCTACAATGCAACACCTTTCGATGCAAATGGTACGGGAACCCTTTGAACTACTGATTTTTGTCTTCCTCTCAACTACAATTACTGAATAGTACAGGAATCGAGTAACTTAGTGTAGATAGTAAAGATATTGGGTAATTTTAAGGTAATTACGAGTACCCCGTTCACCTGAGCAAGCCCCTGACCATAAAGGCCGACATCAACAACCCAAAAACCACCTATGGATCACCCGGATTGAAACAGACGACAAATATCTGGAGCTGGACGACAACGTGTAACTGGAGCCCCGTTCCCACATTCGGAATGTTGTAAGTTTTTCCGCAGGGTTCAGGGATTTCAGTAACTCACAGGAATCAAGGATAAGCCTTTCAGGAAGAACCTGGACGCCTGCTCAAATGGCATCCCTTGTCCTATTAAGACTGGACGTCAAGAACTAGACATGCTTATGGACTTCTCACCGTACGGCGCCATCATTGCCCTACTCAAAGACGACGCCCCCTACCAACTTCAGATGATTCTTCATGACGACGTTACCAAGGCCGATGTCGCATGCATCACCTTTCAAGCACGGGCACGAATTCAATGATTGTACAAATTGTAGAACTACTATAATTATCGGAGGCATTCGTTATTACGACCTTATGGGTATTGTGTTGTTGTTTGAGTACATTACTCAATTAATAAAATTCCTATTCCACAATTTGAGAGAATTTCATTTCAAATTAATTCATTAGGAAGAGCTGGGAGTTTTTGGAACTTCACTGAGCAAAATGGTCAAAATGGAGAAAGGACGGGATATTTCCGATCGGATCGTGATGGTGACATTACAAAGAGTCATTCCTTAGTTGAGTCTTCAAGACACTCTGAAAGGAAAAGTGCTCGCTTTGCTAATTTTTGATCGAGAAGGGGAATTAATAGAAGCTGTGGGGGAACTTTCAAAGCAGACTTCTCATCCGAGTGGTGTCGGAGTGGCATATGCACAAGTCGATACCATCTCATCCTAATAAAACACAAAAACACAATGTGCTTCCCTTCAAAAGGATCATACTTTTTTCTTTGATAAAGTTTATAGGCACCTTTGCAGCCTACTGATGTCATTACCCCCTTAAGATCTTATCCCCGGAATAAATAAATATTAGAAGTTCATTGTATTCATTTAGGAATAGCTACATACCCTATCCTAAACACGACCGCATCCCCAAAAACAAAGGGATAAAATGCCTGAGCATGAGAGAAGTCATGTAATGTGGCGCAGTCTAGGTACTAATTGTTCATTTGTTTGTTTATTTATTTACTTATTTATCCACTACTCAATTTTTCCAATACGCAAATATGCGCTTAAACTGAATTTAGAAAGTGGTTACATATTATGTACAAAACAAGCCATTATTGCATGATGTGATATGGTGGTCTACACGGGGTAATGGGTGGTAGTAATCAATAATATTTTTTTATATTGAGCAGTGATATATAGTGATATTTGGAAGTTTAAATATCTTATCCCATGCTCGATGGTGCCTAAAATCGTTCATGGTTGGGAAGTCAAAAAAGGAACACTTTTGGGGAGAGACTCGTATAGAAGGCCTACATATGGGAAGGCCTAGATGAAGTTACTGGCCAGACTGCGATAATCCACTGTTAATCATTGATATCGTCGGTCGGAGAGGCTGTAAACATTTGAAAAGAACTACTCGTCAACATCAAATAATTACTTTCTTTGCTCACTTATTACAAACTACTGCAGCACATCGATTTCTGTCCCTGTTCTCTGGACTGAGCTAACGATAATGAAGCCATATTTCTTTTCAAAAAACCGTCCTAATGTCTAGGATTTCCTCAGAAACTTCCAGAATGTATCTTATGTTTACTTGGGATTATCCCCAGATTTCCTACAAACTAGCGTGTCTTCGTCCACTGAAACATTCCAGTTATGGCCATGGCTAAATCCCCGCTTCCACTCGGTTGCCTATCGATTTTTCAAGGCATTCACTATGGC